ATATATATATATATCATATACATATGGCACATATATGATATATCACATATAACAATAATCTATAGATAATATTTTAAACTCTAGACCGTGATGTTTGTTGATTTTTTTTGAATTACATGTTTTTATAATCTGACATTTGCATAAATATTAGACCCATTTCTGTGGCTGCGTGTCGTTTCTGAGAGTCATAGGACAGCTTAGCACTTTCTGCAAAAGCTTTCTGCAAAAAATTGTGAGAATTTCACCTACATCATCAGCTTTAAATATGAAGACATGATCAATTTTAAGAGTTAGACATGGCCATGAAAAGGAAAAGGGAAATATTGCTTTGTACTTAATTCTCTTTCCATGGAAGATGTTACTTCCAGTTTTAAATTATAGACATTCATTATTATTGATCATTTTCCTAATAATGGTGATTACAGTATAGCAGACACTGCCAAACATTTTACTTACATTATTTCTATCTTCACAACAACTTAGTGCATTATGTAGATGGCCTTCATATGACAAATGAGGAAACTGAGGTTCAGGAAGTTAAATAATTTTCCCAGAATTGCAGACTATTAATTAAGATGCGATAAAGAACAAATCTTTCCCTTTTGCTTTTTTTTTTTTTCCTGGTACTGGGGATCCAACTCAGGACCTGTGCTTGCCAGGAGGGCACAAGTCTTTTCTTTTCAAATGTTGGCCTCTTTCCGTTATATCACCTTCTGGGTACCATGTAAAATTCCTATACTACAACTTCTTCAAAAAGATTGGCAAAATTGGTAGATGGACTGAATACATTATCTTACTTGATTCTCAGCATCTTTGTAGATATAATGATCTACATATTTTTCAGGTGAATAAGTACAGCTTCATTTCCATTAAGGAAACTTGTTCAAGATAGAACTAAAGCCAGTTTCACCTCCAGCTCTGATAACACAGCCCATCCATTCTCTTCCCAGTGTAGTATTGCTTCATTTCCCAATAGTTGCAAGGTTAGTTCAGTGTCTGTGTATTGTGTATATAAACTGGTTTTTAGTTCAGCTCCTTTTCATAATATCACAGCAGTCTAAAGAAGAAACTGAGAAGACTCTGCTCCTCAGGTTCTCCTGATATGTATAGCCTCAGGGCATAACACTGATGATCTTAACCTGAGTCTGAGAGTATCCTAAAATTATATGCAGAATTGATGAAGGTGCATTTTTCTGGGGAATTGGACAAGAGCTTTATTAGATTCTCAAAAGGGGATCTCTACATGGAAAGAAAAGCACTGAATCTGAGCCAGCATAATTTCATTACCAAATTTTCCACTTCCTATATGTTAACTTGAAGCAATTTTCCTAACTCCTTGAACTTTTTCTCCATCTATGAATTAATATCATAATAAAGAAGATTAAATGAGATGCTGTGAAAATATTTTCAAAAATGACAAATGCAACTATACTTACTACCTTCTGAAATTTCCTAAGATATGACACTGAATATTTTTCTTTTGTTTATTAAAAGACTGAGTGAACTTATGCCTTTCCCCTTACACAGCCTGAAGTAAATGTCACTCTTGATGGAATTTAAAATTTAGAATAGCAGAATTTGAGTTGTGAAATGAGAGTAGAATTCCAAGCTTCAACATTAAAAATGTCAGGAAACTGTGATTCATTACTGGAATCAAGATCCTTCAAGTTAGTTTTGTGATGGTTTGTCTGCTAAGAATTTTCTTCTCTGTTCCCTTACAAACTAAATGGAACCTCTCTTGAAGAAGGCAGTCACACCCCTATTAATAGATCCTGTAGTATCTGTGGAAGCCCACTGTCCATTCTACCCACATGAAGATAGCATTAATTTGACAGCATTAATTTCTGATAGGATAGGATAGAATCTATAAAATTAGTTGTAGGCCTCTTAGCCTGACGCTTTTTTTTTTTTTTTTTTTTTTTGGTACTGGGGCTGGAACTTGCTTTTTATTGTTTGCCTTTAGGGACTGGGTCAGAGACAAAATTACTAATCAGCACAAGTTTTATTTTTTGCTGTTTGTCTTCCTTCTAACTCCACATTCTCTTTTTCTGTGTTCCATTACTTCCTCCAAAACCATGTCAGAACTCTCTTTTTTGGCCCATGAAATTTAGGCATTAGAGATTTAACTTTCTCAATAACATTTAACTTTCAGAAAAGCAAACACTAGAAAGGTGGTGGTAAACTTAAAGCTATGAATTGTGGTGAATTTTTGAGACATCTTGGAAATGTTGGAAGATCTGGTAGTACCAGTTAAAAAGCACAAGCAAGTTTATAGTTACCCAGCAAATGGGAAGGAACTTTGCAATACTTAGGAAGCAGGATGAAGTGAAACTTTAAATGTGAGTCGTATAGCAGCCAGAGATGCAATAGAGGAAAAGTGAGAAAGTAGACACTGAGAACTATTAAGTTAATAGAATTGTTTCATGCGGGCTGGATTTTAATTGTTGATTAGACTAAAACTATTTTTCCCTTTGATTGAGACACAAGTATTGGACTCATGATTGGTAATTTTGTGGTTTGATCATTTTTATTAAGTAAAGATGTTAGCATACAGAAAGATGTGTGCTATATGATACTCCTCAAAAAGACTTTCAAATTTAAGTGGAAATTTTATTTTATAATTTCTAAATTATCACTTCAGTGTTTTAATATGAAATGGCTATGTATGATAAATTTGAGCTTCAAATGTGAAAATAAAAGGAAACTTCCATAAAATCTCTTGCACTTTGGTTACCATTGATCCCTGTTGCTTATTAATCAATGACAGAGCAAACAAATATGGTCCAGCTGTATTATCTATTCCTCTATGTGGCCTTAAAAAAAGAAGGGGGAGGGGTGTTGGTCTATGTAGAGTTTAACAATATATCTTTTCCTGTAAAAATTTTTTTTCATTAAGTTTATTGGCACTTTTTAGGTATACAATACAGTTGCAGTCAACATTGGGATGTAATAAATACTAAAAATTTTAAATATTCACCATATTTTTCAAATATACCTCATATGTGTCGCATGTTTCCTAGATATAGTTTAAACAAAAGGAATGATTTAATTTAATTATTCCTCAGGTGAGAATAAGGCATAAGAAGTGCTGGTACAAAGAAAGCAGTTGTATAACTCCTTAAAAACTTGAAGGTAGACACTGTTATGTTAACCATTTTTTAGGTATAAAATGAGCCAAGAATGGTTAAGTAACTTGTCCAAGGCCCTTTTGCAAACAAGTAGTGAGTACAAGATTCCAAATTTGGCTGACTTCAAGGCCCCAACTCTTCAACAATGCGAAGTTCCTCTTCCATTTTATATCATTCTGTCACATGCATTTGCATGCATTAAGAACCAACATATATTTGCTGAAATGATATAGCATTGGCTAAAAAAATCAAGTCTCAACAGTTTTATAGAAATTAAAACTGTTTAAACACTTTCAGTGATTTCTCAGCAAATGACAGCCAATTACCTTGAGTGTGATATACTGGAAATATATTACAGGTATTCCATTGAAAAGCAAAAGTTAAATGTGGCACATTTGATTATTCTGTAATCACTCACAATTTTTTGTTATTCTGATAGGTTTATGTCCTTAATTTAATGTGGATAAGTACTAAGAAATTACAAAGTGATGTCCTTGCCTCAGCTTGTTTAGTGAACTTTGAATTTTCATCACAAAATATTAGACATAAATACTTAGAAAACTACTATGAGAAAAATCTGTTTATAAAGATGCATGGGTAAAAACTAGCTCATTAGATATGAGAGAAACATTTCTTTATAAGTATAATTCATTTCCAGTTTTAGGCAAAAACTGTTGTTCCTATCAACTACAATAGTGAAACCGTTCTAGACTATGCATTATGGTTAGAATTTCTTATGAATTCACTGCTTAATATATGGTATAGTAGAATGAGCTTGGCTTTAGAGTCAGTTGGACCTAGCCGAGAATATAGCTCAGTGGTTCCACCTCCTGCCTCACAAGCGTAAGGACTTGAGTTTGATCCCCGGTACCAAACAAAACAAAACAAAACAAAACAAAAAAAAAACTTCTCAAATTAGAGTCAGTTAGTCCCAGATCTTTTTGTCTTCCAGAGTTCTGACTTCATGATCTTGAACAAATAACTCTTGGTTTCTTTATCTGAGTTGATCTAATGATGCTTGTTTTACATATTTGAGATCACTTTGTGTGGAGTACTTGCTATTGTAGGCATCCAGTTAAAAAAAATTAAGGCCTTATTCACATTTTTAGAGCTTTTTGAAGAACTTTTAAAATGAAATTTTAACACTTGATAAAATAAAATGTGGTTCAGCTGTGAGGGCTTGGAATAGTCTTTAAAAATGAAAATGTTTGAAACACTCTTAAATCCACTTCATCAAGTCAGCAAACAGACCTCAGATATCTCTCTTTTTTGTGCAAAGTAAGAGTTAGTTAGCTTTGGTTCAAAGCCCAGCTCATTACCTACTGGTAATGATGCTTTGAACAGACTTCACCTTTCCGGGTCTTTTCCTTGTCTACAAGGTGACAATAGCAGAATTTAACCCTATGGGTAACTGTGCAGATAAAAGGAAATACTTGGCAAATATTAAGTGCTCAGTAAATTTTGACTGTCATCATTAATAGCGATAGCAGTATGTAAAAAGGTGTATCAATGTAGAAATTAATGGTCTTGGAAATTCTTACTATTGTGTCTTATAATTGTTTTTTATGTAAGAGGTAGGGGAAATAAATAGTATTTGTATTGAAATTACTTAAGAGAATTCTTAAAACATAAATATCATAATCACTGTTGTAATGTGGACATGTGGGCATTGGGATAGTCTGTGGCCTGCTCTGGGGCATGGGAGCTATTCTTAGTAATTCACTGCACTGGGGAACCCAGAGATCAAGAGTGCAATGACTGAAGCAGAAATTCTTGCCTGATAGCCGGAATTTACAACGTGAAAGTCTGTGAGTGCTCAGTGATTGTACTGCAAACTATTCTCAGGAGGAAAGAAGAAAGTATATATATATATTTTTTTTTTTGGACTGAGGATCAAACTCGGGACCTTATACTTGCAAAGCAGGCAGCAGAACCACTGAGCTAAATCCCCAGCCCAAGAAAGTACATTTTAAAGATAAACCAGAGGGTGGTAGTAAATAATCCTCCTCAAAATGACTAATGCTATGCCAAAGAAGTTTTGGCATTATCTAATTCAGTATATCAGTTTGTCAGAGGAGGAAGGTATAATTTTTCTGCAACTGTACTGGGTTGCTAGTTTGCTAATACAAGGAATAGAGTTTAAAAAACAGTATTTTCTGGTACTGAATGTTTTTTCAGAAAGCCTTCTTCCAAATAATTACCCTTCAGATAATCTAAAGTCCTTTCTGCCCTGCTCCACCTGCAGTGCACATAGCATCATCTTCTCATGACTGCATTTCCTCCTCTCACCTGCTACCCAACACAGCTGGCGACCATGACATACAGTTCACAAGTCACTTGGTGTCTGTGGGGAAAACACATAGAGCAAATGAGTCTTGCCCTTTTCCAGGCCCAAGCTTACCTGAGGATTGCCATAGAAGTGGTCAGAAGATTGCCACCGCCTCCAGAATGATTCCCAAGTCCCCTGGAGATTAACCTGGTACTTGATAATGAGAGGACCTTCAGAAATGAGCAGTATGATGGAGGAACCTGAAGAAATAATAACAATCATGATTTTTTTCTTTCATCTCTAAGGAAATAATGTCTCATTTTCAGATTTGATATGCTATGCTGTGACTTAGAAATAAAATTTTCATGTATAAATGCTAACTGCTGTATTTAGGAATTTTTTGAAAGCTGATATGTTAACAGCCGCACTTAGTTGTATTTTATTTTATTGAAGTACCTCTTGAGGAATCATGATTTTGTGATGTTACTATCCCACTTTGTAAGACAATTGTATTCTTTGGGGGGACCACAGAGTTGGTCATTTAAAGAATTTACTGACTTTGTGTATGGACATTTATGTGACAACTCCCTATCAGGCAATTTGTTCTGAATTTGAGTCCTGTCTCTAATACTATCCTGGATAATATGGTCTTAATAAAGAACTTCTTCTTGGGGCCGGGGATTTAGCTCAGTGGTTCCGCCACCTGCCTTGCAAGCGCAAGGTCCCGAGTTGAATCCCCAGTACCCCCCCAAAAAAATTCTTCATTTATACCAGATTCTACTCAGATTTATTGTCTGAATTTCCAGGGGTGGAGCTTGGACATGTGTATTTAACAAGATCATGATGATTTTGATGATGCTTTGGATTATGATGGCAGTAATAATAAATAATAACATTTATCAACTGCTTTATATGTGTCTTTATAATCTTCTGATCACACAAGTTAGGTACTATTACTGTATTCATTTTTGTAGGTGAGGAAATGGAAGTATAAAGTCTCTGGCATACCAAGTGAGAAAGCTGGGATGTGAACTTGGAAAGTTAGATATTGGATTCTTCCCTAACATTAATTTGCATTTGTTAATTTGAAAAGAGGGATTAAAATTCACTGTAGTCATAAAATTCACCTCGTCTTAGGAGAATTTCATAGAGTTCATATTTTAAAGAACAGACTTTGAAAAACATGTGTCTTGTCTCAAGGAAACTTAGAGTTAAGGACTTTGCAAGGTCAGGCAATAGTTATAAAAGCTGCAAGTAGTGATAAGAGTGAGTTATTAGTTAATTCTCAGTTATAAGGAAGTAATCTATGACCTTTGGCAAATCTTTTGATGTCCTGTGCTCTGTAGTTATCAGGCAGAAAGTTACACAAAGAGTTGCACATCATTATATTTTCACATAAAAACCCTTACAGGGATTTTTGCAGCAGTTTTACATGTAATAGCCAAAAACAACCCAAATTTTCTTTCATTTGTGAACAGTTAAACAAATGGTGATACATCTTGTTATGGTTTAGATCTGAAATGTCCTGTAGAAGTGTCAGGGGTGTTCAGGGGTGGAGCTTTTGGAAGGTGATCAGAAAATGAGGCATTGTACTCATCAGTTGATCGATCGATCGATTCATTGATGTGTGCTGTTAGAAGGTGTAGCGTGGTTGGAGGTGGATCACTGGGAGCATGACCTGAAAGGGTACATTCTTGTTCCCAGCCCCGCCCCCTTCTCTCGGCTTATCAGCTGTCATTGGAGTGAACATTTGTCCTCTACTTTTACCTTTTACCTTCCACAATCCTGTTTCTGCCTTGGAGCCAGCCAACCATGGACTGATCGCACTGGAACTGAGGCAAATAATCTTCTCTTCCTTTAAATTGTGAGTGTCATTTCCTTTGTCCCAGTGATGAAAAGGTAACTAATATATACCAATACCATGAAATACTTCTCCACAATTAAGAATACAAATCATGGACACATGCAACAATTTAAATGGATTCCAGAGAATGTCTCTGAATGAAAAGGCTAATCCCAAAGGATTATGTACAATGGAAATCGATATGGAGATACCTCAGAGAGCTGGGACTAGAGGTTCCCTTTGACCCAGCCATCCCTCTGCTGGGTACCTTTCCAAAAGAATTGAAAGAATCATATCACAATGATATATGTGCACCTATGTTTATAGCGGCACAGTTTGTAATAGCTAAAACTTGGAACCAGCCCATTTGCCCATCAGTTGGAAACTGGATAAAGAAGATGTGGTTTTTCTATAAAATGGAATACTACTCAGCCATAAAGAATTAGAAATTAGATTCATTCATAGGAAAAGGGATACATATTAAGGATATACTCCTAATTGAAATAAGTCACACATGTGTAAATACCAAATAATTTCTCTGGTGTGAAAAACTATAATAGTACATAAGATCTTAATGAGATAATTGACAATGTGAAATAGGAAGAAAAGGGCTAAAGATGTAGGGAAAGTGGGAAGGGTAGGGGAAAGGCAGTAAGGGAAAAGAAAAAAATAGGAGAAAATGAAAAAATGGAAATAAAGTGTTTGTAAATGGTGAGGGGAGGAGGGGGTGAAGGGAGGACAGGGACAAGGGGAAAAAATTGAGCCAAGACCTGTCATATAAAGGTACAAGATCCCAATAATGAATGTAACTGTACTGTATGCCTAAAATGTACCAATAGACTCAATTAGAAAAAGATTATGTACTATATAATTCCATATATGTAACAATCTTGAAAGACAAGATTATAGAAATGGAGAACAGATTAGTAGTAACTGTATTAAGGAGAGATGGGGATGGAGGGAATTGAGTGTAGTTAGAAAAAACAACATGAGGGAAACTTGTGATGATGGAAATATTCTATATCATGACTTTTGATGTTAGTGTTTTGGTTGTGATATGGTACTACAGTTTTCAAAGATGTTACCATTGAAGGCAATTGTGGTAAGGGCACGTGGGGTCTCTGTGTGTGTTGTTCCTTACAATTAAATGTAAATCTGCAGTTATCTCAAAATAAAAAATAAAAGTATAATTAAACATGTACTGCTGCATGTGAACTGAAATTATTCAGACCACATTATCCGAACTAATTCATATCATGAGGAAAATCTTTTGTGAACACAGTATTATCATTTATCACTGAGAAGAAAATAATGACTTAAAGTTTCAGATACTTATTTGTGTTTTTATTGTCTTTTTAGGAAGGTGACAATATAAATGAGCAAAACTCATTGAACCAAAGTTTGGAAAAGAATGATCTGTGTAAGCTTCAGAGGTATTTTTAAGTTGTGTGTCATGATTTAATACATCTAATAGGGAAATGGGGTAGTTTTTTCTTATACATACATGACTTAGCAAAAAGATTCTCAACTTTCACTTGGCTAGTGTTCCCAGATGTGTTGGGGAAAACCACTAAAAATATAAAAATGTTTAAAAAGGTGATTGGAGTATATATCAGTCCTGCTTAAGATCCAAGGATTGCAAAGTGCATGCCTGTAATCTCTGTTACTCAGGAGGCTGAGGCAGAAGGATTTCAAGTTCAAGGCCAGCCGGATAATTTAGTAAGACCCTGTCTCAAAGAAACGAGGAACTGTCTTCCAAGCACAGCTAGTCTGTTAAGAGATAACACTTCTCATTCTTCACATTTTCACTGAATGTAAAGAAATAGCATTCTTCTATGAAAAAGGAAAGAAAATTTCCTTTTTTCACTCCATACCAGGAAATTCTTCCCAGTGCCTTCTGCATGTCCTATTTATTTATTTAGTTTTTGTACCAGGGATAGAACACAGGACCTTGCGCTTGCAAGGCAGGCACCACTGAGTTAAATCCCCAATCCTGCTGTCTTTGATTTTGGCCAAATTCTAAGGCTTCTAAAGCAGTCTACATGGAAAACTAAAGCTGTCTATCTCTGCACTGGACTTGAGTGGGCAAGTTCATCTAATTTAGGGTGAGCCTGTTCGGTATCAGTTGTGGTCACACATCATCCAATCCAGCTTTTGACATTCTTTAGTTTTGTAAATAGCTTTCATTTCAGAACAATGGAACCTCAGACCCACTGAGACTGCCCCCTACTGTTCTGTGGTACTACCTTCAACGTGAATTAAATATCTTTTTCTGAGTCTATTTCTGGGCTCTCTGTTTCATTGGTTTATTTGGTTTTGCTCTAATAACTTATTTTTCATTATTTTGTTCTTCAAGAATGTTTCAGCATGACTGTGTTTCCATATCAATTCCAAAGGTAGCTTGTGAAGCTCAAAAGCAACAACATATCCACTTCTTTCATATTCATTTCCTTAAAATAAGGAAAAGCTGGGCATGGTGGCACATGCCTCTAATCCCAGCATTCTAGGAGGCTGAGGTAGGAAGATTGTAATTTTTAACCCAGCTTGAGAAATTTAAGGACTGAGACCCTGTCTCAAAATTTCAAAAGCAAAGAACAAAAATCTTTCAAAGGGTTAGGGATGTAGCTGAGTGGAAAGGCCTGGGTTTAATCTCCGGTACCATACACATGCAAAAGCAAGGGGGAAAAGTGTATGAGCTACAAACTCTTAATTTTTCCTAAACTGAAGTTGCACTGTAGCCAAAAAGCCTAAAATGCAAGGAAAACCAAGATCTTCCAAGGAAAGACAAGATGCAAATACTGCCTCACCTCTGTCAGAGCAAAGAAAGAGATCCACACTCCCTATAAACAGGTTTGAAAATTTTAGTGAAATTTTTAATGAATTGCGAAAAGCTACGCGTGGGATAGCATAAGAACCCCTGAGAGCTGCTAACAAGGAGTTTGCTCCATGGTCCTCTTTGAGTGCTTAAAGAAGAGAATTAAATTCAGGGGAGGAGAACTGGGAAATATTTCCTTGGTGGCATGGACCTGAGGAGGTGAGCACTATGAGGAAATCACAAAGCTCTGCCGGAATCCTCCTGCCCTGTAGAACAAGTGCCATAATTGGCGTGGGGTAGGGAGCAGGTGATGGAATAGCAAATCTTAGAGCATGGATGAAGACTTGTTTTGACCAGAGGGAGAGAAAATAGAACAACTCTATTCCTAGTGGAGGAACAGGAAGTAATTTTGGTTCGCAGCATTAAACATACCCTGTCACTAGGGGAGGAATAGGAGAAAGTCCAGTTGCCAAGACCCAGTGACACTGGCCTTGTCTAAAGCCGAGGCTAAACTAGGACAGCAGAGAACCTCTTGCTCCACAGCAAACTAGCAGGCAGTAACCTGCAGCTGCAGCCTGCCTCTGAAGGAGGGGGACGAGATGGAGAAGGGCAGGGCAGGGCAGGAACATTAAGGAAAAAAATCAGCCTTCAATTTAAGCACAAGTAATTCTTGAGATAATTTGAACAACTGCGTAAACCTAAATAAGATGAACTGACCAGACTAACAACCCTGAACAGAAAAACAGCCCTGCAAAATACTGTCAGAAGGTGACACATGTTCATTTCTAATATTTTTATTTCATTCTTTACTGTCCTATGTATGCATAATGCCCCACATTTAATAATTTATAAATTAAGTAAAAGAAAATCAAGGAAAATCAACTCCTGTGTCAAGAGACAAAGCAATCAACAGAGTCCAGATGGTGGTACTACTGAATAGGAAAATTTAAATGCCCATGATTAATATGTTAAAAGGTCTAATGGAGTAAGTGGACAATACAGCTGGGCAGATGAATTTCAGTAGAGAGATGGAAGCCATAAGAACATGTAAAATCAGAGTTAGAAATTTAAAAATAATAGCAGAGATGAAGAATCCCTTGACACATTAATCATTTGAAGATAGGTAAACAGGAAGTAGACAAATTAAGGTATAAAGAGTACAAGTGAGCCAGATATGGTGGCACACACCTGTAATTCCAGCATTCGGGAGGCTGAGGCAGGATGAATGCTGTGAGTTCAAGACCACCCTGGGCTACATAGTGAGTTCCCGGTCAATCTCAACTACATGGTAAGACCTAATCTCAAAAAACCAATAAAAAAAGAGTACAAAGTTACATAAACACAGATGCCATGTAAGGGGGTTGGTAAAATGGGTTTCATAAGGAGAACAGGGACACATAAGGACAGATGATGTGCTTTAAAGAAATAACTGATGAAAATTTTCAGACATCAAACCATGAAATTTGCCAAGCTCAGAAAGCCCAGAGCAAAAACTTAAAAATTCAAATAACATGATATGTAAACTGTTGAAAACTAAAGAAACTCTTGAAGGATGTAAAAGGAAAAAAATACTCATTACATATAAACAGCCTGCTATATATATGCAATAAGTCAATGGAGTGACACCTTTAAAGTGCTGAAATTAACAAAACCATCAATCAAGAATTCTACATCAGTTAAAATAACATTCAAAAGGTAACATCTTTTCCAAAAAGAAGCCAAGAGTTCATTAACAGCAACTGTACTACAATACATGTAACATGAAATTCTTCAAGTGGAACTAATAGAATGCCAGATGGAAACTCACCTCTTCAAAGAAATGAAGATCTCTGAAAATAGTTAAGATAAAAATAAAATATAGAAAATACTGTTATTTTTAATCATTCTAAAAGACAATTGGCTAAATAATAGCAATAAATTATGGTTATGTAGCAAGTGTAAATATATATATGGCAACAATAATTTTAAATGAGGCTATATTGAGAGTACACTATTATAAAATTCTTAACATGGTATGAAAAATTGTATTTTTCTCTTTTAAGTTTATTGGTACATTTTAGGTATACAGTGCAGTTACTTTGGGATCTTGCACCTTTGTATGATGTATCTTGGTTCTTACTTTTTCCCCAGCCCTCCCTTCACCCCCTCCACCCTTCCCTGTTTACAATGATATTATTTCCCTGTTTTTCCTTTTCTCATATTTTTCTTTTGCATTCTTACCTTTCCCCTACCCCTCCCACTTCCCCTACTCTTTTAGACCTTTATTCCTATTACACAACATCAGTTATACATTTTGATTCTTATTTACATTTTTAGTTTTTCATACCAGAGAAACTATTTGGTATTTACACGTGTGTCTTATTAATTTCACTTAAGAGTATGGCTTCAATGTGCATCCACTTAGCTATAAATGTCTCTAGTTTCTCATTCTTTATGGCT